GGTACACTTTTAACAATCTTAAATCGCATGCTTATTCCGAGAGCGGAATATTTGGATTGTCTTTTCTCTTTGAGTAATTTTGGTACTGACTTACTTAAAATTGTTCATAAGTAGTCACTAATAAGTGACTATAGATATCTACTAGCGAAGTAGTTAGGTGATAAGGATGCTTACACTTTTGCACAAATGCAGAAAAAAAAAGAGCTGTGAGCTATAGTTGCGATTTGTGACTTGTACATTTGTATTAAGTTTGACTTCTGCATTCTGGGAAATCAATTGTAGTAAATCAAGGAAAATAATAGTCGAGCAAATTTTCCAAAATATGAAAAACGCTGATTTTCCCATCGTCAAGAAAGAAGTTTTTTTCAACTAAGAGTCTTATTATATATCTGTTAGGTGAAGAAACACAACCGATCTGCAAAGAGGAGAAAGAAGAGCACGTAGATGTCGTCATCAGTGAAGTCACAAGGTACATATTTGTTCACTTTTCTTTTTGGATGTAAATAGAGCACCACTGTAGCTTAAATTTATCAACGTCGAGTGCACATCTTCTCTATGTGCGAAAGGATTGGGGACACGTTTAATCGTAATAAAAGGTTGTGACAGGGGTGGGACCAACTCCTCACAAACTTAATTGGATAGTCCTGCATGTTGCCTTTTCTATCATTTGATAAAATTATTGATTTATTTATTTTGTTTACTACTTCGGAAGATACTCACCATAATCATTTTTATTCTAATAGTCGGAGTACTTCCTAGGTTTGCTAGAGTTACCATCCAAATTTCTCTTTTATAGGAGTACCAGTGAACCTGTTTCTAATAACACCGGCACTGCTATTCAGTCAGCAGCTCCTGCCGAAAAGCGACCATCCCTGGAACCAGCTGAATCTTGGAAAACCCACTGTGGGTTTTGTGATGGCGAAAGCACGGACCTCTTCAAACCAACTTTCTGTCGAAATCATTATCTTATACTACTTGCTTGTATGATTATGGATCAAGTGCTAGATCTCTCGCAGGCTTTGGAAGCATTCTGGAAAGTTTCCCATTTTACTGTTGTGATTTGCAAGAAACACATTTTGGATGCGGTGGGTGTTTTTTTCTTTGGATTCATGTGATTTATGTCTGCCACTCATAAGAATAGTCCGCAGATATTTATGTGATTGCACAGCTTAAAAAGCCAAAATATCAGACTTTAGTTAAGCGTGTTGAAA